AAAAGAAATTATTACATCATTGTGTAACTAATATTTACCAAAGATATGATAGTTGATTTTACCCATTCCCTTCTGTAATCATTTTAGTTTATTTTAAATTTATTTTAATTTAATCAATATTTTAATGAATATCCACAGAAATCATTAGGAGTAGAGTTGGACCTCCATAACCATGGATTTTGTATCCTTGGATTCAACCAACTTAGAAAATAAGTATGTTTGTACTGAACATATGCTGACATTTTTTCTTGTCATTTTTCAAACAATACAAAATAACAACTTTATACATAAGACTCATGTGGTAGTAAGTATTTTCAGGAATCTAGAGATACTGTAAAGTCTAAGGAGAGCACTGGTGTGTTCTACGCAAGGATAATCCATTTTATATTAGACACTGGAGCATATGTGGGTTTTGGTTTCTGCAGGAGCCCTGGAACCAAGTACCCATGGATACTGAGAGAGGAATGCATAGTTGAAGATTATTTATTTTCTCTCATTTGACAGAATTAAGATATATTAGAAATTTTACATATTTTATATAATAATTTTTAAAATCTGCTTTTTTCTTCTGATTTCCTATTCTGCACTATTTATCTGTCATGTGTAGATCAGTACCTGGCTTTCAAAACAGTTCAAGAATTAGTTGCTGTATGAGAGTTTGAATACATTTCTGGATCAAAGGATATGAATGCATTGAAAAGAAAAGTCTTTTAAAGTATAAGAAGGGTGCAAACATTAGGATTTTGCAAGGAGGAAACAAAGCCAGGTTTAGCCTTTCTGCTTCAGTGAGGAGGGAGGCCATGCATAGACACTGTGAAACAGAAGCCTTCCCTAATTGCCTTGCACTCAGACGGTCCTGGGGTGCACTCATTTTCAGATATTCACCAGAACACCAATCTTCACTTAACTCAGTTAATGATATAATTTTTATTTTTAAAAGGGAGTGCTGATGTTCCTATCAGCTTCAGAAGACATTTCAAATCTGGTTGTGGAGTCGTTCTATTTCCAATTAAGCAGTGGGGGGGTTCAATTACAAGCTGTGGGAAGCGTAGAGTTTGTGTCAATAAACCAGCAGTGGTATTAAGGGTGGTTGTCTGGTTTGCAAACAGTAACAGCTTGACTCCTAAAGGCATATGCTTTTGAAATTATCTAACTATTGCTTCTCATGTAGACAGGATTAAGCATACCTGAAACCCAGTCTGGGATTTCCTTCAGACACATTTTCTCCCCTTGAACTTACAGAGAATTCAAACACTAAAGTACTATGCTAAAAGACTCATTGGGAAATCACTAATGAGGTTAAGGCTATTTTAAAAAGTGTCAGAAAAAATGTATAGAAAAAGGCGAAAGAATTTGTTACAGGATCCGGTTAAGGATGCAAAAGGGAAAGATCACATCTAGTCATAAATTATTAGAGGCAATCAACCTTTTTGATATATTGTTTATATTATGTATATGTCACAATATCTATATATATATTATATGTGTATATATGTCACAATATGTTGTATGTTTATACATGTGTATGTGGCTATATTCATACACACAATTGGAAATTGAGGTCCCAAAAGGTGAACATAATTCCTGTCAACTAACCAGCAGGTATAACATGCCTACTAAATATATATCACTCTGCTCAAAGTTATATGTACAAATTGAATAAGTCCTAGTACTTCTTCTTAAAGAATAGGTAGCCTAGCTAGGATCTATTATTGAAATCTATTTGATTTCAATTTTATCTCTTTGGTTCTTTTGACTAACCTAAACTGTGCCCATCCCTTTGCTATTAATCTTCGGAATATCTCCATGTCCTCCACTGTCAGATTTTCTGTTTCCTTCTTTCACTACATTTCCCTCCTTACTAATATAACAATTTGAAAATGTATAGTGAGAGCTGACTTTGAAAGAAATTATTGCTAAGAGGTCTGGTTGAGAATATTTAGCCTTCACATCAACTCCTTTGGAAAGCAAAACTCCCTTTTAGAGGAAAACTCTTAATTCCCCACCTGTCTTATGTCCAAAATGAGGTCTCCTTTCACTTAATTCCCCATGAAGCTGTAATTCCTTATTCTCGCAGCTTATCACTCACTCTTTTCCTGGGAAGCAGAATAATTCATCTGATTGGGTGAAGGAAATAAAACGTCCAGTGGTGCCTTGTTCTCTCCTGCCTTGCTCATCTTCCGATGCATATTGTGAAGTAGCCTCCTGTGGTCTGGATTGAAGACTGAAGTCAGGAGCACAATGATGGCATGCCACTTTAAATTACAGGTTTAAGATCATAATGTCCAGTCTGCTTTTTCTGGAAACAAAGTTCAGGTTTTGACTTCTTTTTCCATTAGTCTCACAGTAGTTCCAGTATTAAGGAGGAGAAAAAAAGTAATTCCATTGGGTAAGATGGAGATTCTGAAGCACAATACAACTTTTGGGTTGAAGAGCAACTGGGAATAGTTAGATTTTAGTAGTGAATGTGCTATTTTACAAGGCACAGAGAATCATCTCCATAAAAGGGCCCTATAAGACAGTGGTTCTTTTGGTTAGCAAAGCAAGAGACAGGAGAAACAAGCTTCTCTGGTCTCTGTCCGTTTCTCTGTCTCTCTGTGTGTCTCTATCTCTCTGTCTCTGACTCTCTCTGTGTCTCTGTCTCTGTGTCTCTGTCTGTGTCTCCATCTGTGTCTGTCTCTCTCTCTGTGTCTCTCTCTGTCTCTCTCTCTTTCTCTTTCTCTTTCTTTTCAAAAGATGAAAGATGTGGGGTTAGTAAGGGAAAGGAAGAGACAAAACACAAAATAAATTAAAGCAGAGCTTCAAATTGTTATTCCTGTAAGCTATAGAACTGAAGTTGCTCTGAAGAGCTACAGATCCAAAAACAAAGTACAGAAGAGTGGAATTTTACTTGCATCTTCTTTTTTTATTGGTGCATATTTTATCAAGGGGGAGCAACCTTTGAAGTGTTAAAATGCTATCAATGTCTTTTTTTCCCATAAATATATCTACATTACCTGATAGATCGAGAAAATGCTGAACTTTAAAATAGATTGCCACTTTTCCAGGACAGAATTGAGAAGTGTGTGTGTGTGGTGTGTGTGTGTGTGTGTGTGTGTGTGTGTGTGTGTGTGTATCAGCAAAATCATATACAGGTCCAGTTTTCTCAATTCTAGGTAAAGCCATTAAGAAAAGTGATGGAAAAGATTGTGAAAATCTTTTACCTTTTTTTCTGTTTCACATAATGAAAGTGTAAATCATTTGCAATGAAATCTATAGGGGATTATGGCCAGCTAAATAACGTTCCTCACAAACATGTCCATACACTAATGGCTAACGTCTCTCAATACAGATTTTGAAATGTGAATAATTAAGAATTTTCAGTTTGGGAAATTATTGTGGGTTATCTGGGCCAGCCCAGTAAAATCACACAGGCCTTTCGAAGAAGGAACAGGAGGTCAGAGAGGAAAAAGAAGAAGAAGGAGGAGGAGGAGGAGGAGGAAGAAGAAGAGGAGGAGGAGAAGAAGAAAGAAGAAGAAGAAGGGAAAGGGAGGTTGGAATGGTTTGGGAGATGAACCAGGGATCATAAGCAGCCACTAGAAGTTAGAAAACACAGGGATGTATTCTTCCCTAAATCCTCCATAGGGAATGAGCTTTGGCCCTCTATTTTGGGTGTCTGCAACTGAACTGTAAAATACTAAATGTGTATTATTTTAAGCCACTCAGTTTTTAGTAATTTGTTATAGCAGCAATAGGAAACTAACATGGGGATGATTAATGACTAAATGGCACATTAATCAATGTTATGCAATTACTCTGATTCCCACATATTTGTGATGAACGAAATATATACCTTCTTTTGGTACCTGTGTCACCTTCCTAGTGAGTGTATTTTAAAAAGGAAAAGAAAAAGATAGACTTTCTTAGGCTTTTTTGCCAGTGACTTAGGGAGATTTTCAGATGTATTCAGTGACACATGTCTAGATTTTCAGGTGTATTCTAAAGTTGGAGGTTTCTAGAAGGCTGGTTTGTTACAGACAGCCCACATATGCTTCCTGAGGGGAGACTCTGTGAGACACTGAGGAACAGATTTCACTCCTCTAATCTTCTCCATAACTAT